TAAAAAAACCACAATTAGTTTACTTCAGTTAATTAATTAATATTTCAAAATCAATTATTCAAATATTACTAATTATTATCGTAATCTTGTTATTAAAATATGAACGTACCTGGCAATTGAAGCTTTTGTTAGCTTTCTAAGTGCAAAAAAAAAGATCATGGTCATATTTTGTAAATCCTAAAAACTTAAATAAACATTATAATTTGAATAAAAAACTTACATCATACTGTACTATTAATTTTTCCCAGGAGTCCGCTTACAATAAAGGCAATAAAGTCTTTAGTGGTTTGAGGAAACACATCATAATGTTTCCGTACGTAATTTGCCACTACGCTATTGATTTTCCATAACTTTATTGACTGTAGTCTGCCAAGTTCTAAGTCAAATCATAAAGTGTTGCACTTACGATTAGTATTACTTTAAACTGGCATTATATTTGTACTTATATTATTTATAATTTGATTTCTATATTACAACATTGTATATTTCTTATAATTGGCAAAAATTAATGATAAATAAACAAAAAATAGATTTTTATTATAAATTATTTTATTTAATAACTATTTATCTAAAGTTATAATGCACAGTAAAAATTCAGTATAAAATTATTTAACACTAGTCAATATTAAAATATACAAAATATTCCGATACAATAAAAATTATTTATAAAATAAAAATACTGTATAATATACAGTATAATGATTATTTCATAAAACAAGTTTTGTTTATAATATACTATACTGTATATATTGTATGGCATATTGGTTAAATTTTAAGAAATTACAATTAGTTTAAAATCTATTTAATAAAAACCAACAATTATTATTATATAGCATATAATAAAAAATTCTTTTTATTGTTTTATTGAAAATGAATTTTAATAGAAAGAAGTAGAGTGTATAAGGTGAGAAAATAAAAAACCTTATATTAAATGAATGGTAAAGCAAACCACCGTAATCTTCAAAAATTAAGTATATATTAATGACAAACAATACTTCGTCAATTATCATTACGTCAATTTAAAAAGGGCGTATGTACTTTTATTATCTATGCTTTCGATTTTTTAATCCAATATTTTGCTTTCTCTTTATTTTTCATGGTTCCAATTCCATAGAGGTAGCAAATTCCAAGATTATGTTGTCCCCAAGTACTTCCACCTTCAGCAGATTCCTGATACCATTGATATGCTTTATAATCGTCTTTCGTGGTTCCAATTCCATCACGATAGCAATCACCTAGATTACATTGTCCACAGGAGTTGCCACCTTCAGCAGATTTCAAGTACCACTGAAATGATTTCTGGTAGTCTTGAGTTATTCCGATTCCATTTTGGTAACAATATCCAAGAAAATATTGTCCCTGATGATCTCCACCTTTAGCGGATTTCATGTACCACTGAAATGTTTTGTTGTGATCTTGAGTGGTTCCAAATCCATTTTCGTAACAATACCCAATATTACAGTGTCCGTAGATATTTCCACTTTCAACAGATTTCATGTACCAATGAAATGCTTTCTTGTAGTCTTGAGTAGTTCCGATTCCCTTCTCATAACATAATCCAACACTACATTGTCCAGCGGCATCTCCACTTTCAGCAGATTTCGTGTACCACTGAAATGATTTCTTGTGGTCTTTAGTAGTTCCAATTCCATTATTATAACAATATCCAAGACAACGTTGACCCCAATGATCCCCATCT